TTCTCCCATGTAGTTAACATTTGCAGTGTTATGACCTTTTGGGCCCTTGCTCTGAATTCTGGCTCCACAGGCCCTTCTGGACACCTAAGCAGACAGTTCCTGGCACTCCCAAGTCCACATGGGCCTCCCCTTGGGTCTCCATCTGATGGCTGTGTTCAGCCAGGCCAGGTGCCTAGGTGCTTGATTCCTTGCTTCCATAAGCAGTCCCCAAGTCTGTGGATCTCAATTTCTAAGTAGCTTATGTCCTCTAGAATCCTCGTCACACCTCTGTGATATCTACCAGTGTGGCCATTGCAGCACCAAACCTGACTTCTGCCCTACTCCCCAACTCCCTTGAGTTCCAGTGGGCTGTCAAAGGCAGACACCTTAATGTCTTCCCCTTTAGGCCTGGTGCAAACGATCCCTCCTTTGTGGAGTCTTTTTATGTTCAGATCAAGTTGACTTTTGCTGTTTTCCTCTTCATGTTTAAAACTTTGAGCTTCTGAGGTGATCTAGCCTGGCTCCCAGCATTTGGTGACTGGAGGGTACCTGCTGAGGGCTCTGAAAGGAGCCCAGCACAGTTGGGGACCCAAGCCCCTGAGCTTGATGCAAGAGTCCTAGGATATGCTAATACATTGCACAAGAGCAGGGCTTGGCCTTCAGAAGATCCCCCTCCACAATCTGGGTCGAGTCCTAGGGGCCTGCATCCCACATCCTTCTGATCTGCCTCAGCCTCAGACTTTCACCCCATCTCACCTCCCAGTTCTGCATCCTGTATGCTCTACACTGGTCTCAGGAACATGGATCCATAGCACCTTTAAGCTTTTGTTCTGCTTCTCTTGGCCAGAAGCCCTTCTAACTTCTATGCAAGTTTGATCTTTTCCTGAGTGTCTCCTGTCTTGCATCTGAGAGGGCTGGCTCAACAATTAGCTGCCTCGACAAGGGATCTACATCTTTTCAGGGCCTGGCCACTTCTGCCATGTGTAGTCCTTCCTGGGAAAGATGGACCTCCCATCCATAGAAGTCACAGAACACTAGCTCTTGGGCCAGGATAGCCTCAGGCTACATGTTGACCAAGGCTGAGGGACAGGGGAAAGGTTGAGAGTGGAGGGCTATGAAGGTCCATGTGGTCAAGTTTTGAGTCCTAACCCCCAGTCTCCCAGGCTGATGACCAGCTGGATTCCTGCAGAGGGCCCTGAGGCCCACCCCTTGGGCATAACTCTGAGCTGGCCTAGCAGCTGGGGCTGCTGTTAGGGACACAGACCAGATTCATTCTCCACTGACCCAGCTTGCTTTTTGTCTTTGCCAGCAAAGAGTTGAAATTCACAAGCTTCGTCAAGGAGAGAACCTAATTCTGGGCTTCAGCATTGGAGGTGGAATTGACCAGGATCCCTCTCAGAATCCTTTCTCTGAAGACAAGACAGATAAGGTGAAGGGATTAGGGTCCTGTACCTTGCATGGGGCACAGAGGGGCTGAGATGGCGAGTCCTTGCTTCCTGGGACTTATGGAAGGCTCAGGGCTTATCCTTTCAATCCTAAGAAGGTCCAAGAAATGACTGGTGGGAATAAGTAGGGCTGGAGATGAGGAGTGGGCCTCCGAGTCCTAGTATGTCTTGTTCAGACAGCCTAGGAGGAGGAGGAAGCAGCCATTAGCCTGAGCTGGAGCACCCCTGGGGCAGTCACTTTCTCCCTGGTTGTCTTGGCATAGCCTGTACCAGGTAGATACGCTAGGGATTGAGGTGCTGGGCACAGAGACAGAGGGATAGCTGGGAGAATACCATGCTGAGTTCTGTTCTGTAGATAAGGGACCAGTCCAGCGATCACAAGGCTTAACCTGGGCTTCCTCTCTCCAGGGCATTTATGTCACTCGGGTGTCTGAAGGAGGCCCGGCTGAAATCGCTGGGCTGCAGATTGGAGACAAGATCATGCAGGTAACAAGTGTCCCAAAGAAAGCAAAGTTTGGGCAAGAGGGGCTGAAGCACTTGGGGTTGAGGGGCAGGCCCAGCCTCACAGTGGGGAGGAACTCACCAAAGCTGTTTTGGAAACTGTGCTGGTATTTCGCTGGGGGAAGCTGGCTCTTTCATGTGCCTTGGCTCTGGTACAGAGCATCTCTAGGTTTGGGATATCAGCTTGGGGTCCTGTTTCAGTGTCCCAGGCCCTCCTCCCCACCAAGGGCCCTCTGCTTCTAGATCCTGGAGGGCAAGGGGCTGAGGTGGGCTGTTCTCTCTCTGGGCTAGGTGAATGGCTGGGACATGACCATGGTCACACATGACCAAGCCCGGAAGCGGCTCACCAAGCGCTCAGAAGAGGTCGTGCGTCTGCTGGTGACACGACAGTCGCTGCAGAAGGCGGTGCAGCAGTCCATGCTGTCTTAGCAGCCAGCCATGGTCCCCAACACGTGCCTGCCACCTGTTTGTACAGTGACCCCACTTCCACACTCTGCTGCTCCTCCTGGTTTCTGCTGCGTGCTGAGTCCCACGTCAGAAGGGCAAAGCTGATCCCAGAGGCCTGCGCCAGCCTTCCTTCTGTTCCCACTCCTAGGCCAAGGCTCTGGGGCCCTCTCTCCCTTGGATGCTGAAGATTGGAAACAAGGACGTGGAGCTGAGTGGCAGCTGGTCTGTACTGAACACTCAGTACAGGCTCAGCCCCCAGACCCTACTGCCTGGCTGCTGCAGAGTTCAGGCCAGCAGGAAATCTTACTTTCTCAGAGTTGCCAAAGCTGGGGAATGCCAGGTGGGGCCGGGTTTTCCCAATTTGCCCTTGGCCACAGACAGGGCTTGGCCCAGCCCTCATGTCACCTCTGAGGTGCCTGTGTCCCACACTTCACCCACCAGGTTGCCTGGTGGGGGCTGGACCCACACACTGCCAGAGGCACTATGAACGTTCACCTGGATGGAAACGGGCAGGCTCCCATTCCCCGCCATGAGGGGTGCTGGCCTCCCCAGGGTTTGTCTGCTTACAGGATTTAAAAGAGGCTCAAGGCTGACATTTCTGGGCAGCTCTCAGGATTGCCACTTTTCTCTGCACCTGTGGGTTTAACTTTTGTATTTTTTTAATTACAACTTTGATACAAATCGTTTTTATCTTAATACTTGGAGATGCTAATTCTTTTGAAGTTAGCTTACTAATTCACATCTGGGAGCAGCTACTCTTCGCACACGAATAAGCCTTACTTTACCGTGGAAACGGGCAGTGTGATGCTGCCCCACACCTGACATCTTATGCCCAATAAACAAAATGCTGAAATTCGCATTAGTCTTTTGAGGCCTGGGGTAGGGATGCTTGGAGGTGGACTTAGATGAATGCTTTGGTGTTAAGGATGGTTGGCCTGTCTGCTGCTGCTGTGGGACAAAGCCCAACTCAAAGCAGGTGGCTGTAGGGGCTGGAGTGTTGCTTGCCTAGTGCATGTGAGGTCCTGGGTTCCACCTTACCACTGCACAAAGAAGCCTCAGTGGAAACTCTCCTCAGCAAGGTCTTGTCTATTATACATCTGGGAGCACCTTCACTACAATTGGGGCGAAGAGTGTCTGGAGTGCATTGTCTTTTGAGTGGTGCTGTGAAGAACCTAAGTGTTCTTAACTTCCCTTGTGTAACTCAGCTTCAGCTGCTACTGAGAGGGGCATACATAGGTCTATGGGAAGAGCACCTTAACAGTTTTAAGGATGCCCTGAGCCAGTCAGGGACACTGCTGCAGGTGTTTTCACGGCCCAAAGCTAGCCAGATGGTGAGGCAGAAAGCACCTGGCCTTCTGCCTATGCCTACCAGTCCTAGCACTGCCAAATCAAATTTATAAAGAAAAGTCCAGGATTTGAAATCTTTCATTTTTAAGGTCTAGTGCCCAATAACACACTGTAACAATAACTCAGTGGCTGAAATCAAATGGGTTTATGGGTTTATTACAGCTGTAATCTCTGCTCTACAGAAAGCCAATTAAATCCTTGGTACTTGTTACAGCAGGGCCTTTACTGTTCCTCCTTCCAGTGCCCTTAAACACTCCAACCTGTTCACATCTACAGTTTGAGCAGCTGCTGTACTTTGGCACTGGCAGATGTACCTTTCAGACAGACCTACCTGGCCCTGAGCGGGCAGGTGTCTTAACCAGCAGGGCTTTCCCCGATGAAGCCCAGGCTCAGCATACAGCCACCTGGGGTCAGTGAACGCCATAGCCCCATGCTTGCCTTTACAGGTTAGTAAAGCTGGCTCCTAGACCCCAAGGATTTGGTTCTGAAGGCCAGCATACCTACTTTCTGCATCCAGCAAATGCTCAGAGTATGCAGAAAAGCCAAGTTTTACAAAAGGATACAGGCCCCTCACATTGGTCTTGAGTTAAAAAGAATGGATAAGCTCAAGGCATGTCCTGGGTCCATTTCCTCCTGCTGTAGGTCGACAACTTGGGGAAGGAGCTTTGAGATTAGGATCGGGTTCATAAGCATTGCGTTGAGGAGGTCTCAAGTTTTCTGGGGCTCCTCTATAACCAAAATATTGGTGTCTCATGTAGGGGTCTGGGAAAAGAAAGGGAAAGGGGCCTGCCCTCCCTCCCAGGGGAACTAGTCTCACCATTTGGCAGGACTAACAGGGCTCTAAGGCACAGACTGGTAGAGTGTGTCCTGCTCTACAGGTGCTGGCTTAGGAGCAGCAGGGTAGATAGCAGATGGGCCCTATCTGGCTCTCAAAACGTGGAGGTAGGATAGAAGGCAAGAGTGAGAGTAAACCATTTCCAAAACATCCCTCCCAAAATTCTGAAAGTAGTATGGTATGTGACTGTGGTAAAGATCCAGAAGGAACTGCGCATGAGACTGGTCAGAACCATCTGACAGGGGCTAAGGAATAGTCTTTACCAGGCCCTCTGGGCCACCTGTTACCGCAGTCATCGAAGAGGAGTTATGTAGAATGGGTGGGTGCCTGGAATGCGGTTTTCAGAAGAGGGACTGCAAGGCCTAACCTCGAAGTCCTCAACTCTCCACCACTGGCACCTTTGAGTCCATTGGCACAGCACCTGGCTGCTTGTTCTCTGGGAACACAGTGGTGGCAGCAAGGCACCCTTGTTGTCTCAGCTGCAAGGTCAGCCTTTCAAACTGCTCCCAGAAACACTGGTTGTTTGAGGCAAGGCCTTCGGTTGCAGGTTCAGCGTCAGATTCTGCCTGGGATGGCTGTCAGGACCTGTGTGTGCTACCTGAAGGCTTAAAGGAAAGAGACGATGCATCAAGATGCAGGAGGGCCAGGTGCCGGGCCCCTGAGGCCGGGCAGGGCTGAGACCTCTGGGGAGGTTGGGAGGGACTGCCTGAGGTCTAGCTTTCAGTCTTGGAGCACAGTCAGGTGTCTCTCCCAGAAAGAGGATCCTCCATGGCCCAGGAGGGGCCCAGCAAAGGTAGGTTGGTTGCATGTAAGGCATTTGGCCCTGAGCGAGATAGTGCTTCTCTGCTGGCACAATGAACCAGCCCACATCCCAGCCACTTCTCTGGTCTTTGTGGGGTGCAGCCTTCCCCACCAGAGCCACAACCCCCGCTGTTTACATCGAGTCTCTGGGTGCTAGTTCAGCTGGTTGTACCCTAGTTTCTTTCTGTATATACAGAAGTGCTGGATGAAGAAGACAACATCGAAGAAGATGCTGAAGATGCCAAGGCCAAACTTGGTTGGGTCTCCGAAGATCAATGTCCACTGGTCTGTTAACAGCCAGAGGGAGAGAATCTAGTTTTAGAGAACAGCTCCTGAGGCAGCTGGAGCATGTGGGACTGTGGGGACTGGGGTGGGGGTGGGGGAGGCTGGGGATCCCCATCTGCCCAGGGAGTCTCTTTGGGGCTGGGATCAGCTTAGATTCCTAGGCTGCTTGACTCGGGCTGGGGGGAGACCCAGGATGCCTGGCCTGGGGACAGCACTCTGGCTGACTCACCATTATTGTAGGACTGGAGGAACATCTGAAGGAGGCTGAAGGTACCCCCTGTGAAGTCCAGGAACACACCGCCAATACTCCAGCCCTCAGTGCTTTTGTAGTAAAAGTTCATGTAGACCTGGGCCAGAGAGAGATGGAGGGCTGTGAGGGGCTGGGTGGCTGCCTCATGTGCCTTGTGACCACCACGCCAAACAAGGGCGGCTCTGATTCCTCCCACTCGTGTGCTTGGGCCTCAGTTCCAAAGGACACGGTGACCTTTGGGCTCTAACAATGCCTCAGCCAAGGGAATATTTGGGTGTCCTGGGATCTCAGCTTCACACACAGCAAACAAAGCTATCTCCTCCTACCCTGGCATCTTTCAGCTTGTGTGTGAGAGGTACTGCCTGCCCTGCCCCACTTCACCCTCCCTGGTAGGGAATGCTCTCTCCTGGGTTCCCAGCAACTCAGATTCTCCTTTCACCTCCAATGAAGCTGTCCCCAGACTCAGCCTGGACTCTACACTGCTTAAGAACACAGCTTGGGAGCCAGACTTGCTGATGTGAATCCCAGCTCCATCACTGGAGCTGTGTTATGGGCAGGTCTGAGTTTTCCTTTCCTTAGTGTCCCATTCTGGTGGGTGGACCTAACTCCACCTCAGCAGTGATAGGACTCCAGGACCTCATCCTGGGCTTCCCAGATTAGTGGGGTCTGCTCCGACACTCTCCTTTTCCCACTACCTTGGTCCTACAGCCTTCCTCCAAACTGATGGTGCCCTCTGGGGTTCTGCCTGGCACCATCTGTCTTCCTCTTACCTGGGAGGGAGGGCTTGGCCTCTGGTGAGATTCTATGTCCTTGTTCTCTCCCACTCTCTTGCATATTTGCTACTCCTCCAGGCCCAGCCAATTCCAATATCTCCCACCGGGGTGCCTGCCTCCCAGGTTCCCAGCACTAAGTCGTCCCACATACCGGGATGGAAGCCACTTCCCCAGAGACTGTCCCCTCCCTGTCCCAACCCTGGTGAGACCAGCCCTAGGATCCCAGCTTCAACATTCTCAGTGCTGCTCAGGCAGCTGGTCTCCTGCACAAGCTGCCTGGCCTGTGGGGCTGTTGAACTAAGTGCTGTCTTCCTTAGGGTCTAGCCCTGTTCCTGGCCAGCTCTCTCCTTTCTGAGCTCACGGGACATAAGACTCCCTGTGCAAGGGAAGCACATGCCCTCTGAGGGGTCCTCCCTCACAGATGTGTTCAGTGAGGTCCTAGATTTACAGGGTAAAGTACGTAGTTGGCACCTACTTCATACTGACCCCTAGCTTGAGCCTATGCTTTTGGGGGAAGATGTGCTTTTAAGTCTCCAGACCTGGACAGGACCGCTAGGGTTCATGGGAAGATGCTGATGGACAACCGGGGAGAAGATCTCTGCCTATAAGGTGGCTGCAGGTTCTTCTACCTACTCTTTTCTGATTCTCCTGCTGCCACTGTGCTAATGAGGGACAGTCAAAGATAGACCTACCCAACCCGACTCGGGAGCGTGAGGTCTGACAGCCTCCATCGGCTTCCTCGTGTGAGCAGCTCTGCCAGGCTGGGCTCCCTGGCTCACTGCAGCTTTCCACCCTCATCTCCTTACCCTAGCAAAACCTGGCCCAAGGGAGCCCCCAGGGTCAGTACCTCTGACCTTCTCTCATGTTACCAACCATATGGAGATGCGGGAGAGCCCTGAAGTACCTGTGGGAAGTACTTGATCAGCGTGACAGCGAGCTTGATGTAGGAGAAGCAGAAGAGAAACTGCAGCCATGTGGTTGCCCCGACAGCAGCTACGATCATGGTGATGATTGCGAAGAGCCATGCGAGCACCAGGAAGCTGACAGCGGGCCATGACACACGCTGGCTGCCTCGCTGAGGATGAGATGGAGAGGACTGGGTGGGCTTGGAAGAAGGGCTGGGCCGAAGGGGAGAGTTGGCCTTGACACAGCCTGTGTGGCCCACACTCAGGCTGCTGTGCCCAAGGAAAGGCAGGGTTGGAGACAGATTCCAGAGATCCCTGGGCTCCATCTGGGCCATGGAACAAGTAAGTGAAGTGCCAGGCATCTCCTGCCCTCAGCACCAACCCCATCTCTTTACTATCAGGGTCTCTTGTTCTGTCCATCTTGGATTCTCTGGCTCCCATCTACTTTCTAGTCCCATTTGGCAGAGATGGGGGCCTCTAGAACTTATTCTGAAGGAGCACAGGGTGCTGGGGACATGAGATCCAACACCGGAGGCCAAGTGAAACAGTGAGGTGAGAGGGCCTCTGGATTTTGTCCCCCATCAACTCTTCTTCAGACATGGCTCCAAGTGGGCCTCTTTCACCAGAGCATCAGAACAAAGGTAGGGAGGCCTAGAAGGTTCCTAAAGGTGGGGGTCACACAGCCCCCTCTGGCCTTGCAGAACATAAAGGGAACTCCCCAAGGGAGGTGGCAACGCTGTTGCCTTAGGATCTCCCTGTTGAGTCTGACAGCCCCCCAGTAACAAGCCTGAGTCCAGGTTCCTCCTCAACTCTCTCAGCAGGAGGCTCCCCCACTGGCACCCTGAGCCCTGGCCAGCCTATTTGCTTACATTTCCCCCAAATGCCTTTTGGCCTCCACAGTTGTTCCCGAACCCTTCCTGTTTACCACAGGAATGTCAACCCATTGGACAGTGGGTGTCATTTTCCTGACACTTTCCCTCCCCACCTCCTTGGCTTGGTTTTGGCTTCAACTCTGCCCCATGGCTGTGTGTCCCCATCCACACAGCTCTCACCTGCCTCTCTCTGTGTCCTCACTTAAGACTTGGGGGATGGTCTGAAGGCTTGGGTTGAGGAGGTATCCTTGTGCTTGCCCAGCTAAGGGCCTGGCCCATTGCCTAGGACTGGGAAGCCAATGCTAAATGAATGAAAACGTCCTTTCTGAGGAGCCTGAGTCTTAGGTGGAATGGCAGGTAGCAGTGGCGGCTGGCATGAAGGTTGGGTGTGGGTGGGTGTTGGCTCAGGCTGTCCCAAGTGGGCCAGGCGCAGGCCTCATCCCTCACCTCATATAGGCAGCACTGTATGATGACAATCACGGTGAGGGCGACTGCATGCAGGCTGAAGAAGACGTCATTATACTCCACCGGGTTCACACCGTTGGGATATCTGAGGAGAAACTGCTCCTGTTTGGGGCGGGGAGAAGCAGGGAGGTGAGGGGCCACCTGGCTGTCCAGTGGTTTGGATGGCTGTGTGTGGGGAGCAGCATCATACCTGGATGTAGGGCACCCAGAGAAGGCCGATGTTGAACACACTGTAGGCCACGAAGCCCATCAGGTTCAGGGCCAAGAAATCGAAGCTCAGACCAACAACACTGCAGGGGGCAGAGAGGATGAAGCAGGACAGGGGTGAGGCTTGGGACCACTGGAGTGGGAAGGGTCAGAGCTCCTGGCACACAAGGGAAGGAGGGCGCTGCTGGTCATAAGGACAGTACTGTCTCCATATCACAGTTGATGCCACCCAACCCCTCTTCCAGAAAGCAGGTTCTCACTTTTCCTTCCTTGTTCCTGAGATTTTTCCTGCTCCTCCAGTCCTGGCCTGTGGAAGGTGTGGAGGCCTCCTGCAGGGAAGCTGTATCTCCTTCCCTGGCTCTCTGCTAAGAAGCCCACATGGCCAGGGTGACTGCCGGAGAGCTTATATCCTTGCTTCACAAAGGTGCAACCCCAGGCCTACTCTCACTTTGTCTCAAATCACAGAGTGCTTAGTCTCCAGGGCTGCAGGTGCACGCTGTGACACCTGCTTTCTAGGGCTGAGGAGACTCTGGTGGCCTTTTTCCTACTCACCTGGTCTTAGCTTAGCTGAGAAGTTTCATGTTGCTGCTTTCCTAGGAGGGGCTGGATTGGGCAAGGGACCAAGTGCCCAGCCCTGGAAGTCCTGCCTAGGCTCTTGGAGAGTTTTCCCATCAGGACAGCTTTCTTGAAAGGGTAGGCAAAGGAAAGAGCAGAGTGGGTCTGAGGCCATGCTACCTGAGGCCCCACCTGTTCTTACCTTTTCCGTCTCCAGTTCTTGATCACCTGAGGATAGAAGGAGATGGACCAGGCCATAAAATAGATCCAGCCAATCACTTGGTTTATGATACTAATGATGTTGCTTCGGATCACAAAGAAGAGTATCCTTGAGCTGGAAAGAGATTTTGGGATGGGATGAACTGAGGCCCGACTTCTGTACCCAGTGCAACCTCCCTTTCCATCATTTAATTCCACATAGGTGGGAGCAGAAGCCCAACTACCTGGTCTGGTTGGAATGATTTCTATGCAGATAAGCAGTCACTTGTCCAACATTTTGAGATGTTACTTGAAAAGAGGACTCTGTCACTCCAGGAGGCACTACAACCTGTTAGGAAGACTGAATTCAATCTGAGGCCACATACAGTTATTGAAGGCCCCACCAAGAGTCTGGCTCTAGACTATGAACCAGGCAGTGGAGGCACACAGCTCACAAGATCCTGCCTTCTAAGAGCTCAGTAACCAGAGGCAGAAATGCTGGGTCGGCCAGCCAACTCGATCCCTGAACGGCCTGTGTGAGGCTTTCTGAGCAGAACCATAGCCTAGTCCTTGGGTCCTCCCCCTGGCTAATCTCTGGGGGAAGGTGGGCTGGCTTTCTTCCTCTCACTAGCTATGTGATCTCAGGCAAGTTATTCAATGTCTGACTTTAGTCTGCTCATCTATAAGCAGGAATAACCCAAGTGTTGCCTTACAAGGTTGCTATAAATAACACGACCTCTATAAATCTTACAGTGCAGAACCTGGCACATGGCAAGCTGAGAATACTTCCTACCACAGCTGTACAAGGACAACCATGTCGCCTCTATTTCTATAATTATTAGATTCCTTGACATCCACGGAAGGTGTCTGCCTCATGACCTGCCTGGTTGCCAAGTTACAAAACAGGAAGTGTAAATACCAAACACTTGGCAAAGAGTGGTTTTATCCACATTCCTCCCAATCTTTATCAAAATCCCTGCTCTGGCTCTAGCTTAGTGGTAGAGTGCTGCTTGCCTAGCATGTGAGAGGCCCTGGGTTCCATCCCCAGTGCAGGGGGAAAAAAAAAATTCCTCTCTCTAGGAAAATGAGCCTGGAAGCCTGCCTGTCCATAGCATCTGACTTCCCAATCATTCCTCTTAATACTTTCAAATTCTCACAGAACAGCAGGGAGTGGGATTGTGTCTTTACTGAACCAAACTGTCTCTCCTAGTCTTCAATCTGTTGCTCCCTGTCCAATATTCTGGGTCCCACCCTCAACCCATACTGCAGGTGCTTGAGGATGAGGCTTATTAAACGGCACTGGCTTCCTAAGGAGGACCCCTGCGGCACTGTCCTTTTGGTCTTAGGACCAGCAATCAGGGCCTTTGTCAGAACAATGGAAATGGGGCAAGTGGCTGTGTTATAAAGCCCCCTTCAATTTCTGGTCTGTGCCCCGTGACAGTGTAAAGACAGGCACCAGTTTTGGCTCTTTTATCTTCCTATCACCTTACTTTTTCTTCTTTTTAACAGTTTCCCTGTGATGTCATTTACACATCTGTCAGTATCTAGTAAATCCATTTGGATCTAGGCAGGGAGAAACTGGGTCAATCGGAAATTCATCAAAACAAGGCAGAATGAAATAACAGTCCCTGCCTTTTACTGAATGCTCTCTACTTGCCAGGTATCATCCCAGACATTTTATACTTGATATTGTTTTTAATCTTTACAGTGTGATCAGGTAGAAGTTATAAATCCTATGTTTACAAATGAGGAGACTACTATGTCAGGCTGAAGTACTTTACCCCAGTTCACTGGCTAGGCTCCTAGATTGGGTTCTAACCAGTGGCTCTGATGTCATGTTAGGGGACAGGGGAAGTTAGAGCTGGATGGGGTGGACTCAGTAAGGCAGCAGCCTGACAGGTGGGTTCTGACAGGAAGTTATCTTATACAAATGGTTTGACTCCTACTATTAATTTTTTAAAAATTGAACTATAACATATATGCTGAAAAGTACACACATCACAGCTTCATGAAATAACCAGGGACTGAATGAATGCTTCTAGTTCCCAGATCAAGAATCTAACATTTCCAACACCCCAAAAGCCCCGTCCTACCCCTCAGTCTACCCCCCAGGGAAATTGCTACCCTGACACTACACTGATACAGAGTCACTGTATACGCCAAGCTTTTTTTTTTTTTTTTTT